GTACAAGAAAATTCGTTAATATTGGCAAGAGATGATGACGAATAAGGTGAAGCTTTATCGATTTATTTCAGTAAAGTGTTTTCTGTCAGCAATGGGAACGACAGCGGCTTGTAGATGGATACCGTAGTTACTGGGAAAACTACTGTCTTAAGACTACCTCAGCATCTCAAGCCTCATAATTTCAGTGGGCCTAATGATATTCATCCCAGAATTATGAAGGCCCAATCATATGTAATTGCTGAACCTATAGACATACTGTTTGATATGTCTCTGAGGCAGTCCAGGCTGCCAAGAGACTGGAACGATGCAGTAATTAGTCCAGTGTATAGGACAGGGAGTCGAAACTTAGTTGGTAACTCTCGTCCCTTCAGTCTAACCAGTGCAGTTGTAAAAATAAATGGAAAAAATTATTCGGACGTCTGTTATAGCATGGGTGGACAGATAGTCACTAGGAATGAACATTAACAAGGGTGTGGTGATGCAATTAAATAACTATGACGATTCGTATCTCTACACAATATGGATTTGATTTACCGAAAGTAAGGAGTCATACTAAGCAGAGACCTCAAAACTACGAGTAACTGTAACGCTATCGGGTATCATGGGCTATTCGTAAGTCGTTCCAGTATTTGGATGAAGGAATGTCTTGATTATCCCCAAACCACTCTGGGTGGTAAAGTAAAGTTCTCAACAGAAGTGTTCGATAATGAAATTCAGTTGACTGGTTTTTTATTCAGTAGGGCTGATAGATTAAACCGCAGGAGAGGTAGGGTTATCCTGTACACGAAAAGTACCTGAACCATAAGAGCTGTTGAAACAGTGGCACATGTTTCAGTGGCATGTGAACTGGTGTGTTGCAAGCTAAAATGTAGGCGGCAAGATATTGAATTAGTTTTAATATATCGCAGTTGAGAATGTGTAATAGATGTCTTTCTTCTAAGAAAACTCAAGGCCTAGTGTAATAAAGATAAAAGCCTCCTAGTAGGCGACTCTGATGCACCGTGTATAAACTGGGTAAACTTAGAAGTAGGGTCATCGATAACGTCATTCAATTGCAAACTATCAGAAACCTCAGTAACATTAGCTTTTTCCCAACACATTAGAAATCCCACCGGATATGAATTAAGAGGGTCATCTTCTCTTCTGTATTTAGTCTTCACACACGGTGATGACGCTGATAAAATTAGTTTCCTCCCACCACTAGGAGTAAGTAGACATGCAGTAATATTATTGAAATTCATGGCTGAGATTGCTTGTCAAACAGTTGCGGCAGCCCGTCAGATATAGAGACAGTCAACTCCGTAGCATCGGCTGAAAACTAGGAAATTGACTAAAGGGCATCAGTGCAGGAAACATGGATGCATTTCAGACAGATATACAATCAAGTAACTCAATCATACTGTACGACCCGTTTTCAATGTTTGATGTGTGTGAAAATCCCTCCATGTATACACTTGCACTTTATTCCTATTGATTTCCTTAGTTGTACATTGTTAGTCTTTTGATTACATTTGAATTTTTAATATTTGTATTTTCTATCACAGTTTTTGTTTTTCTTACGCCTTCACCAAGTTTTGGTGTTTCTTCCCGAACTGCATCTATGTTGTTTTACTTGATACTCGTTCTTGGCGGCAGACATATTGATTCGCTCCTCCTTTTGTGTGTGTTCTATCCAGTCAGGATAGAACAGCGTCCATTTGTTGTGGCTGGTAATTTTCCCGCATCTTTTGTGAACTTCTTTATTTATTGTAATTTAGATTTGATTGATTGAACAATTATTGGTTGAATAGCCGGGTGGTAATATTTGTTTAGGTAACGATTAACATTTAAATTTATGATGAATTATAGAACCGCTATTTATCCGATTACTTGTTTTGATTTTGACGGGCAAGGGTGCGTGTCTAACCTACCTGGACGGCTATTCTTCAGTCCAACCCGTAGTTTGGATTCTACATACCCTGGATAGGCCGGGTTATTAGACGTTCACTAAAGCAAAAAAAAAATCTTGGAATGTTGCTATCCGCCTTGGCATAGCAGGTACAATGAAACCCTACGGGTCAGTAAAAGACATGTGTATAATTAAAATTCGGGAAGCTCAGAGATAATATGAAATGCAGTTGGTACAATTTGCACTCAAAAAGCCTAAGAGATTATTTTCGTACATAGATTATATAACAGGTATGCACCATTGCACTCCTAACCTAATTAAAGAAGAGAATGAAAGATGAAATGATAAAGGAAGATCAGTAAAAAGCAGAGGCTATGGAGAACTATTCCGAGGCAGTTTTCACTGAGGAACCGCTTCTAGTCAAAGAATCAAACCTAAATACAGGGTCAACAAACCGCCTGCTCGCCGTGGACTTCGATCACGGAAAAATCAACAGGACGCATCTCCACTGACTGTGATGTTCAATATGTCACTTGATTAAGGTGTGTCACCTATGGACTGGAAGGAAACAATCGTCACTCCTATGTATAAAACAGGACCAAGACAACATCTATTGAAGTACAGACCTGTAGGCCTCACCAATGTTGTATTTAAAATAATGAAAGTAAGAGTCAAATAGACAATAATGACATTTGTGGAAACTAATAACCAGGTGAACGATGAACAGCATGGTTTTAGAAAGGGTTTGTATTGCACCACGATCCGCCTTATAGTAAGGGAATATTGGATAAGGGCGCTAGACAACGGGAACTCAGTAGATGTTGTCTACACAGACTACAGTAAGGCCTTCGACAAGGTGCCAAATAATAGACTGCCATTGAAGTTAGAAAATCTTGGTATGACTGGACCTCTTTTAAAATCGCTTAAGGATTCCGTAGTAGGTCGTGGACAGAAAGTAAGACTAAATTCCAAGTGCTCCACTAGGAGACCGGTACTTAGTAGAGTACCCCTAGGTTCCGTCCTAGTTCCTTTACCTTTTATGCTGTATGTAAATGATCTTCTAAGTATAGTACTTCAAGCAGACATAAATAATGTGATTAACTGGTTTAAAGAGTGACTGATGCCTATCACTGCAGCAAAGTGTGTCTATATGCACTTTGGAGATACAAAGGTCAATAGATACAACATAGGGGAAGTGCCAGTACCAGTGGTCCGGTCTCACGAGGATCTAGGGGTTACATTGAGTCGTGATCTTAAGACGACAGCCCATTGCCGGGAGGTCGCAGCTGAGTGGTTTAGAACCCTCTGGGCTTTAAAACGGACCCTCACTAAGTTAGATTCTTCCATGTTCACCACAGTATACACAACCTTAGTGAGAACTAAGCTAGAGAACTGCACTCAGACTGCAAGCTCCTGTCTAAAAGGTGACTCGGATATCCTAGAAAAAGTACAGAGGGCAGCTAACCGTGCAATTCCAGAACTCCGGGGTTTACCATACAAGGAGAGGCTTGGAAAGCTATACCTCTTTACTCTGTCCTATCGCAGACCAAGGGGAGATCTAATTTTGGTGTATAGAATACTAAGAAATGAGTTTGGACGCAATATGTTCTCTATTTTTCTTCCCACTAGATTGGGACATCTCAGATAACGTAGAAGGCAAGTTGAAAAGCCAAGAACGAACAAAATACCCGTGGCATACAGGTTTTCACACCAAGTCATTACTAATTGGAACCTGTTACCCGAAGCAGTGGTGTTCACACCCTCAATTGACTCTTTCAAGAGAGGACTCGACACTCACAGAAGCATACTAGAAAAGGAATAACATAGGTTTTAAACCTTTTGTCCGTACTACACAAATCTGAACCTGACATTCGTGTGACCACATTTGGAATATAGGATTCAAGCAGCGAGTTCTTGTTTCAAGCATGTAACGAATATACTGGAACGATGCCAACGACGAAGGACTAAAACGGTTAAAGGTCTGTCTGGCTTATCTTATGAGGACAGACTGAGACACCTCAACTTATCTCTGTTATCTTGTCGTATAATACGTGGTGATCTAATGTTGGCTTATCGTATACTGGACCATGACCTTAGTATGAATGTCTTATCTCTTCCTTCCGTCTAGGACTGATCATTTGAGAGGACATTCGAAAGAAGTTCAAAAACCGACATGTCGCAAACTACAGTTACAACTTAGGAAACCCCTCGCTAGTAGTATCCCAAGTCGAAAAAGATTTAGGAGTCCTGGTGCCCCATGACTTAAAGTCTTACGCTAACTGTGACAAAAATGCTTTCCAAGCAAACCTTGCACTGGTAACGTTAAGGCGCATTTTTGGCCAGTTTGACGGAAGAACTTTCCACACAATCTTCAATAGTTTCATCCGTCCCCATTTAGAGTACGGAAACATAGTACTCCCCCCTCACTCCAAAAGGACAAGGTCACTTTGGAGCGTATCCAACGGCGAGCCACAAAATCAGTTAGAGGACTCAAATCTAAGTCTTACGAAGAACGCCTCCGTTCACTAGACCTTTACCCACTAGAATATAGGCGTCTTAGAGGTGATTTACTAATGGCTTATAGCATTCTTAACACTTCTGGACATCCTATTAAACACCTACTTAAGCTTAGTTCGAATAATAACCTAAGGGGTAACACCCATAAACTGGAAACACAACATAGCAAGACGGAATGTAGACACAACTTCTACTCCTTAAGAGTTGTCAAAAGCTGGGATTCGCTGCCGGCCGAGCTAGTCCAAGCGACTTCTCAGGAGTCCTTCAAGAGGCAACTTGACCTATTCTTAAGAACCAAGGACAGCATCACACTATGATTTACCAATTTCTTTCCCTCTTTTATTGTTAACATACCTAGGTTCCTGCCTGGAGGATTTGGTGATCCCCTGCTACTAGACACAGAAGCCTGTTAAGCGAAAGCTTCCTTTATTCCGTCCACAACCATTTGAACCATTTGAAATCATCTACATCTGGAGTTTCGTTTCTCTCACCGAGTAGTGAATTGCTGGAACTCCTACCAGAACATGTAATATCAGCACCTTATGTTGATATATTCAAGACGAGATTGGACTTTCACAGTGTTAAAAGCTGCAAGGATTAATGTAGGTCGATAGACCTCTTATCTTTGTTACTGAGGACTGATTAGTGGAGGGTATTCGTCGTATACGCTACAAGGGCGGGATCGATTTGCAAGGTTTCCAGTACGAAAATGGTCACTTCGTAGCTATGAAAGTTACCTGCCATAATGCGTCTAGAGGTAATTCACTATAGATTCAGATTCAATATTATCTGAGCTTGCAAATGCTCATTCGTAGCTTCCTTTCGCACTCAACTCAGTTTATTTGAAACAGTAATAGTTCTGCATTAAAAAATTCATAGATTCCTTAGCCAATTACAATGCTTTTTATATATGCTCTATAATCGCTCGGCAGCTACGATTCTTATTACCTGCGAGTTCTATGCTGTTGAATAGCTAGTATGGCTACAAGCAATTTGGTTGACTACAAACTACCTCAGTTAAAAGTACGTGAGACCACAATTAGGTTGTTCGCTCATTTAACTACAAAACACTTCCTACCGATTGTACATAACTATTGGTCAAGGCATGTTAGTTTACCATCTTTTTACCAAACCCCACTTACCCACATGCGTTCCGTATAGGATTGTGTTAAATATTATTAGTTCTTTGCATTGTGAAGTATTTTGGCTTGGTTCGGAACCATAACTTTCAGAAATTTATGAGGTAAAACAGTTTAGGACTTTATGAATCAATTGCTGGAGATATTTTCCTAAGTTCCTGCAGTTTTCGATCATCAATTATGAATGGAATTCTCATACCACATGACTTAAACTTGCCTTTTGGTCGGTTTCTTATGAGTTCCTTCAGGTGTTTCGTTCCATAGTTTGTAAATCTAAAAATTTATTTCGGTCACGACAGTTAATATACTTAAAATACAAACTATAGATTGAAGAACGATACCTAGTTTGATTTTGTTAGGTGTGACATGTATTTGCATAAACTATAATTATCATTTGTTTACATTACTTGAAGTTTATTTATACTTCAATTCTGTCTATGGTGCTAAAAAGCCCAATATTTTACTATTAATGTAACAGGACAACATCTTTGTAGTATTGGTCATAATGTAGCGTCGAACATCCCAGTCTCCTGTGAACTCTGAACTCCGCCACTTTAGAATATATTAGTCTCTATTTTCAGGTAAATATGTCGGCACCTATATGTTTAGGGCAAAATGAACATAAGTCTACAATAAGTTTGTCTTTTTACTTGTTTGGATTCTTCTGGTAAGCCGGATGTGTTATAAGTTTTCAAATGGGACATTATTTATAACGAAACAAATGTTTCCTAATGTATAAAGAGTTATCAAGTTAAATTGACAGATTTAACATTTGGTGGTTCGACATTGGACCAAGCTTTCGCGCCAGTTGGGACTCATCAGTCTGATCTATAGGATTTGATCGCCGCTAAAGATTAGGTAAACATTACTTATAGACCAGTCAGCTATAATTTACGGTTGTTAAAATCCGTAACGTGTGATCATGACTACTATGATAATGTCTGTACCTCAGATGTAGCTATGAAAACCTTTACGGGGGTTACCAAGTCTTATTAGCAATATATGTGACTGCTCTTTTTTGTTATATGCTAAAGGATAACAACCAAGTTGTGTACTGAAGTAAAGTATGTTGGATCAAGATCTCTTTTCTTTATTCCTAGATACACACGTTTTAACACGCACTAACAAGAAATACGGGCCAAGTACTTGCCGAGTAAGACATAGACGACGTAACTGGAGCTCACACACTTCTCGTTTGTCACCATGTATAGAGGAACCATCTAAAGTTGATTGCATGGTAACCAGTTCGCTCAATGGTTCTCCTGAACGCTTATCATCAAATCCTCCTTCACTAGAAAGTAGTAGCTCGTGCAGTTTAGCCTCTTGTTATGGGGTATCAGCTCCGTTTATCCGCCCCTCCATGCCTCCTGGTCCACCAACATCACCTGTTCCGAGCCCGCCACCTACTCCTGTAACACTTGGCGCTGTTGTGGAAGCTCCAACAAATCCTGTTTCTGAGCCTCGACAGCTTGACTCTATTCCTAACCTTCCAGCCGTACTCCGTAATCGTTTTAGACGACGTCGAAATGCTATTTGTGAATCCTCTGTTCTTGGACAGGGATTAAAAGACTTCTTTGCTTCTTATGTGGTTTCTAATTTAACTGACTCCATGACATCATCACTAAGTTTGGGATCATCTTCTGCATGTCCCGTGTTCAAATCTTCATTACAACCGCATCTTCCTAACACAGTTTCACATTTGGCCCACAGCGACTGCGTCACATCACCTGTGTGTTTGATCGATAGCGAGTCACAATCTGAAAGTCTGTGATACAAATTTATCCTACCAGTTTCCAATGATCATCAGACGGTATTTAGTTCACTTTTTGTAGTTTCTTAAAGTGATTTTCTTCAATTTAATATTTCACATTATTAGATAATTTTAACACGACCATTGGCATTTGTTTACCCTTAAGTACGTATGCATACTTTACCTGTATACGAGTCTTTCTGTACTCATTGCTCATCCTATGTAATTTTTTTCTTAAACACGCCTATAATTTCCACCTGCTACCAGCTAATAGCTGTGATTTATTAAAAATATTTCAAAAGTATTTTGTTTTTATATAGATTGTGTTACAATGCTCGGTTTTACTTCGTCTAATGTTATGAGGGTTGGGTCTCCACGTTTGCACGTATGGGACGTTAATTTACCTTAGATGAATATCTACACTAGATGCCCTCCCAGTATCCATTCTACAGGACTAACATAACTCAGATCAAGAACATGTGATTAACCTGACCACAACGTAAATATATTTCCACACCAAAATCCGACACAGTCCAACAACAATGAACAATCAGTAATAAGTGAGTAATAATAATAAGGATAAGGGAATATATAACTCATCTGACACCTGTCAGACTATCTACATGTCTGACTAAGCAGACAACCAGTCATTATCATTTTCGCCCACACATCAGATTGTTACCAAATATTTTCATATCTTTGCTGCCTAAGTTGGCGTTTCGTTAAAAAACTAATATCCCACCAGAATAGTTATCAGTAATCCCTTTACGTCCGAAAATTGAGTACATAATTCTTCTGGTTGTGGTTTTGGGTAGGAGTTTCAAGATGAGTTTTTCAATCATCGACCTGCAACGTTTCACCAAACTTTACTCAAGGCGAGGCCATTTCGTATATTTATGTTTCCCTGAATCTTATCTTCGATGCCTTATGTTTTCTATTACCGATGGTACTGTTATTACATCTACTATTCTGGGATTAAGCCTGAAATATTTTATCTCTCTTTGCCGTGTTATGGGGACTTGAACAGATGTACATATGTACCAGGTTCTACTTTGTGACTGCAACATTGCCACTATCTGTTGGGATTTAATGTGAATGTAATTGAAACTGTAATGTATGTATTCAAATTTCTCCTAATTACAATTATGGAAATGCAAGAAAATAAAATAATGATAAATTTAAAGTATATCTGCTCTTTAGTAAGGCAGAAATTGAATGCGACTCCACTTCCATGTTTATATCTCATCTAGGAGATCACTTCCTATTGTTTCTGCTTTTCAAGGCACCGCTCTAATTACTGAAATTGTTCCATGATGCGGATTTGTAGTTATCAACATCCGTTCTATATCATCAAATATATTTCGGCACAGAATTATTGTAGTAGATATCTCTTGCCATATTTGATCACTTCTAGGTAGTCCTAAAACTAAAGTTATACATCAAAAACTATCCAGAATAAATTCCGGTCTAGGTGATGAGTAGTGATGCATTCAAGGATCAGCGTTTACTATATACGGAAAGGTTGCTGTTTCAAAGACGTGTCTGTATATATATATATATATATATATATATATATATATATATATATATATATAACCGACCAGTTACCTCACAAACAGCAGTAATTTCCCACTGATTCTATTGAACGGTCATATTAAACTCACTAAGCAGTAGTCTGCAGATGTAGCTCCAAACCATTTTTTAAACTTTGAGGGCCAGTAATCCCACATGGTTGTTCAAATCAAAGTAGGTAGGGCGGAGACAGAACCTGAGATGACTGCAAAGTAATACACTCCAATAAGGCGATTGGGATCCAGTCAGTAACTACGCTGTCTATCTTGTTACACTTCTAGCTACATCCACACAAGGTCACCTAATCCTCGGATACTTATAGAGTGAATTACACTGGTTGGATGGAATTAAATGAACGAGCACTTCTGTCCATTCGTCTCATAAACGACATGGCTCGCGGTGGAAAAATTTTAATTGGGGGTTGACTGGCTGACTTAGAGTAGCATGTGTGCGTCAATTACGACACGCAGTCGGTATACTGGCTTCAGAAGGTGCGGTCACAGACTTGTAAGAAATCAAAGTATTTTTGTCGGAGGTGGAGAAGGAAAACTAGGGTCGTAAAGGGGTGGCAATGTTTGATCCTGTTGGTTGGACAATTGGACAAGAAGAGGGTTTTGCCCATGCAATCACTGGAAAATCTGTCTGCAAGCGGTTGACCAATCTAGGTCAGTAGTAGGCAACATATCTTAATGCAACTGCGGTGAACGTTTGTTCATTTCTCAAAGGGTCTTACCATCAGTCACGGGAAGAGGCTGAATGAGCAGAGGTTCAGCTTTTCTCGTCCCTTTTTTCATACCACCAAAACAACATAGTCGTGGACTTTTTACCTTTGAAAAATCCAGCAACGTTTACTGATGGTGTAGGAATTTAAGTTGGGAATTTTTAGGCTAAAATAAATAGACTGGATAGCTAACTTTGATGACGAGACCACCTCAGCAACTAATTACATAATCTCTGGCTAATCATACACTAAATTTCTCATCCAAAATATTCAGTTTGTACCAAATAGCCATTCCCTACCTGCATTTTTTTCGCACCAGTAAAAAAACATGGAACTTATTTGAAGTATTTACTTGAAATGATGACTTGCTCCAACGTTATTTGTCAAATCCTGGAAATGTTTGGATTTTATTGGTTAGTGATGGATTTCGACTACTTTGTCAAATCATTATATGTTCCAGAAACTAAGTCTCTCTGTGTATATCCAATATGGAAAAAGTTAACATATTTTGTGAGATACCAATTCAAAAACAATATACATTAGGTGACAGTGAAACTGTACTACACCTGCAAGAAAAGCATATTGACAAATTACGTTGGAGATTTGCCACATGATAAGACCATTAACTCATAACCCACATTGAGTTTTTAATGTTAAGCGGACGGTCAATATTTGTCTTTTGCTTCCTACTTGTCTTCTTGGCTAGTAGTTAATTATCTAATAAGCAACGCAGTTACACCATTATGGACATAATAACTTTAATCCATTAATATGTCCAATCACTCGGCTAGTGGTTCTGTTGTGTGATATTCATTTGAATCGAGGTCCGGATTTCAATTTCACGATAAAACTGGGCGTAGCCCCTACTTTGGCGTACGATTGGAGCTTTCCTATCATGATGACCTGACTGAGCTATATTGGCTACATTAAGCCCTACCACACCACCCGGGTTGGAGATCGTTAAGATTAAAAGCTGCAAACTTCAAGTCAGAGGGCGAAGTTGTACTGTCAACTTTACAGGGGTGTGAGAATAAGGAGTTTCCCCCATAAAATGGACGTCTCCCCACTACGACAGAGGGGAGCTAAGAGAGGTCGACCTAAAAATAACACCCCACAGTTATTCACGATCACACTCAACTTAGTTTCATTTTCAAGTCTCTCGAGAAGTACCCTTCCACAGTGTGATAAAATAGCAAATGACAAACGTCTTTATATCCGATGGAGATTCATACTTCGAATCAATTACTGTCTACCTTCAAAATTTAGTATTTCTTAATTGTATTATACAATTTAGCTGAAGAGCTGATGACCAAATATTCGTATACGCTTCAATACACGTCTATGACATATCATAAAATCATGGTTCAAATAAATACTTTACTGAGAACGAAACTTGTTATTGTATATCTTTTATATATTTGCTAGAATGACAATAATATTATTATCAATCTCTTTATACTTTTAAAGAAACCTTAAAATGTAGTAAAACAGATATTCTGGCGCACAAAAGGAATAAAGGAGTGGAAAAGAAACGTTCAACGGATATTAATTACACTTTCGAATATATTTTGTCCATTACGTATTTTACAGATAAGTAAATTTGTGTGCATACGAAGAGAAATAGGGAATATCAGGCTACACGTTTTAACCGTAACCGGGGACAAAAAGCAACGAAGAATAATACCGACATACACACAAAAATAACAGAAAGATGGTAAACAAAAGCTAGCAAAACAAAATACAGGTTATCAGTATGGATGAATTTGTTGTTTTGTTAATATGGTGGGAAGAAAGCAATTCGAGAAAATAAACAAATAACGGCAGCGTTAGTCATGATCAAGAAGTATTTTGCTTCTCTGTTGTGTTAATAGGTTGATTGATAGAAGCGAAATAATAAAAAAAGAATGGCTTTAAAATGGACAGAAATCTGCTTATCTCTTTTCTATTTTGAAGTGTTTTATTGTAGAAAGAATGTAAACTGGAGGAAGCGGATAAAAATGAAATACTAAATTCGAAAAAGAGGCATGACATCTAAATAGTAGAAAAATAGCACCTGGGTACATAAACAGATGTGAATAAATGAAATATCAATCGAACGTGTAATTGTTATGATTCATAATGGTTCAATAGAAGAGGATACGACTTTATATTGGAACAAAAATTATCTATCCTATGCAAATGTGTGTTATATTATTCAATTATTCCATCTAGAGAAAAAGGTAATAGGAAAAAATACCGTCAATAACAACTTCACAAAGAATGCAAGTGAGATGGCTATTATATTCATATTACATTTTATTGAATAACACAAATGTGCTCATGAGTACATTTTTACTTGGATTCACTTATTCTCAATATCTGCATCAATTCAGCATATGACGTTAGAAATGGCGAGCTACATTACACATTTATTGCTTAGAAGAGTTAATCCTGCCCCCCGCCTCTATTTAACCAGTAAATAATTTTATTTGAATACAGTAAGTTAAACTCATATAACTTGCTTACCCGTAATCATACTGCTTCATAAGATGTGCTTGTTTTCAAATATTCTGCATAAATACTTACCTGACGACAGATTTCGTGAAGCAGTTCAGAAAGTTTACCGTTTCTCGTAAAACAAATGTTTTAAAACAGAGCGATCATTCATGACTAAATTTTATTTATTGAAAAGAAATAAACTACTGATAACTTTATTTTTTCTAGTACGTATTTTGCTTGAAGGATTTTACTGAGTAGTTGTCAAAGGACCGTTCTATGTTGTATTTTAGTGCATGATGAACATGATAGTTTTGGTCAGTAGTTTTGTTGTAAATGCTGAAGTGATAACTTCGTCAGTTCGTTGATTTGACATGAAATCTAATGATTTTAGACTAGTAACTATCGTTAATGTAAGAACTTCCAAATTGACAAGATTCTGTTAGCCTTCTTAGAATTTTCTCACATATATCCAAACACGTCCAAAGTTTTTTTTCCATTAAAGTCCTAGTTAAAACCTTCATATGAC